GTTTTGCTACGACACAATGGCCGCGGTCTTTGTGTTGTACACTCTATCAGATGCTTTCTTCACCTACAAAAGAAATGAAAAATCGAGCATATAAAAGATGAATGTAACAGAGATTGATACATGAAACCTAGCATGACAAAGTAGTTTACTTCTTTCTCCCAATCTGTGCGTGTGATTATGATTGCAAGAAATAGCGTCTGGGTAAATAGAGCGACGATAATTCCGGTCCAAAGACCCTGCAAAAACATGTTAATCTGATATCAATGTAATGGTCCTGAAAGATTCAGACGTGCAACAAGAGGGAGGGGACTTGAAAAAATAGCAGTACAAGGACTAATATACATCACCTTCCCTCCAAGGTGCAGGACAAAAGCTAATACAACAGCAGTTGGGATGCCCATAAGATAGTAAGCTCCCAGATTAACATATGCCCCAATCTTTTGTTGTCCACTTCCTCTTATGACACCTGAAATTGTAAATTCAAGCCACTTTTTTCATCAAATCAGCTATAAAAAAATCTTCCCTGAAATGAGAAACCGCGGCATACGGGTACCATTCAATCCCACAGTTTGATCATATGAGTTGAATAAAACCTTTTTATTATCTTTTGTTCTGTTGACTTCGGTTTTAGCTATAGGTTATGCCAGGTATCGCATAAAGATTTGCAAATCCAGAATAAGAAGAGAAAAAAAATCTATTGTTATGAGAGAGGAAATGGTGAAAAACTGCAGAAACCTGAAAGCACAGACTGAAGTCCATCAAAAAAGTGGGATATTGCAACCAAAATCAACATTTCTCCAACATAATTCACAACTTCTATTTCTTTGCTGTAACAGTAGCCCCAAATTTTTCGACCCAAAATGAGGACAGTGCCAATCAAAATGCCCTCAAGAATCACAATGGACAGTGCAACACGTACTGCTAGAACTGCGAGTCGCGGTTGCCCAGCACCCAATTGATTGGAGACCCTTGTGCTGTTATATAGAAGTAAATAACAGAATAGAATTCTTGAGACAAAATGTGCAAAAACAGGAACATACAAAACTTAGATGTAGATTTAGAGTCTTAGACTCACCTTGCTGCACCACTGAATGCCATGGGAATCATGAAAACCATTGAGCATGTGTTAAGGCTGCAAATGTGTCAAAGCCGGTTAGTAATATCTTTGTTTCTGCTTCATCTGCTTCATCTTCACTAGCTAGAAATATGAAAACACTCTTTTTAAGATTAGTACAAATGCAAACCTGATTGACAGGACTGAGGTTTCAAGCTTTGGATTAGGAAGAAAACCAGATAAGAGGACCATCATTTCGAATGACCAGATTTCTAAGCTGTCACAGACATAAAACCAACAAACAACTATTAGTAAGTGCCAGCATTTCAAAATCTCAAATACATCGAAAGATGTTGAATATTTTTATTTCGGTTTCCCACTGTCTTTTAACCCTCTAATGTTACAATAGTATTAGTGAAACAACTAAAGGTTACCTGATCATTACAGCTGAAGGAACAGAGAGTTTGAGAAAATTGAGAATTCCATGGAAGGCATCCTTTGAGAACCCAGTCCATGTGTGCTTGCAAGAGGGAGAGACTCTGACATAAATAACCAAAGTCAACGCGCTGATCCAATACGAGATGGAGTTTGCCACCGCAGCACCTCTATATCCAAGGCTAGTCTTGTATACCAAAACCCCACAGATAATCAAGTGCAACAGTGTTGCAATGCCTGTGCTAACAATCATGGGAACCACATTGTTTTGACTTTGCAAAAATTTGGAGTGGCATTGGTTGACTGCATAAGCGAAGAGGCATGGTATCAGGAAACGAGCGTAACTTCCAGCAGCAGCTGCTATTTCTGGATCTTGACCCAAGAACTCAAGAATATGACCAGCATTGAAACATATAATTGAAAGAGGAATGCAGACCAGCAGAAGAACAAGCATTGCTCTCTGTAAGTGTATGCCAAGCATATGATACTGTTTTGCTCCATTGGACTGGCCACAGAAGGTGTCTAATGCAAAGCTCATTCCTATCTGTTCAACAAATTAAGATTAAAATGAGGACTATTATATCATCATTGGTTCAAACACATCAAGCATCACAATTTACATACATCATACTATATATATATATATATATATATATATATTCTGTTGAGGGATCTCTCAAAAGCTTATTTGAGGGGACACCCTTGTAGGGCCCCACTTCGCATTGTATTTCACTAATCCAAACGGTGTATTTTGTAGATATTCTTACATAGATCATCTCTATAAAAAAATTACTTGAATCCGATATCATTTAACCATTCAATTAAATTATTTAATTAAATTATTGAAATTTAAGTAAGTTCTTAAAACATGTTGTTCATTGATTTTGTTGGTCTCAATTAGATGCCTTAATAATTTTTAATTTGTGTAATTTTTTGCAAGGATGATCTGTGAATGAAGACTTAAATTAGATCACATTGAAAAAAAAAATCGTAGAATACCCTAAAGGGGATTGTATGTGTGTGTATATATATATATATCACAAATTAGGCAATCAAAATTAAGGGGGAACATAAGGGGCTTGTAGCTCAAGTTGTTAAAAGTATTTATCACTGCAAGTGCCGTCCTGTGAACGAATCCCCCTCCCCCAATATCTCATGCATAAAAAAAAAATTAAAACAAAAAGAAGGGGGAAAAACTACAAGTATTTATTTTCTCTACTTTTTTGAGAATGAAAAGTACTAGGCTGTCTTTCTATTAGATTTCACAGTGGTCTTAATCTCTCTGTCTCTCTATTTTGTCTGAGTCTTGAGAGTATAAGCCTTTTATGGTATAGGTTTATTTCTACTACAATCAATTATCCTATAAATTACTACGTCATATGAAATAATAAGAAAAGAAGCCATCTTACAATCAAGCTCAAACCAGTCACTGTGGCAAATGAAGTGGCCATGGAAGCACCTGCAAGTGCCAGCTCTCCAAGATGGCCAACATACATAACTGAAATCACCTGCATACCAAAGAGCAAGAAATTTGATGACACAAGTGGCCCTGCTAAAGACAGCTGCTTCTTCACTTCCTTGATAATCTCATCTTTGGATAGTCTTCCCTTTGTTGCATGTGATTCATGTTCTTGAGGAGCTGGAAGCAAGGGAGATTCAAGACCAGCTGCTTGTTCTTCGGCATCCATTTGTTCTGTTTTTCCTCTTCAAAGAGCAAGAGCTGATGGCCTCAACTTTATGGAGAAAGAGTTATATATGATCAAGCCACGACAATTTTGAATTGTTTTGGGAACTCTGGAGAGAGAGAGAGAGGTGATTAAATGGGAATTGAAAACGTTGCTGCCAATTATTTAGAAATAGAGGCCATTGCTTTTTTAAGAATTCTATACAAGCAATAGTGGGATAATGAGAATCGAACTCAGACTTTAGGTGAATGGGTAAATATTTTTAACTACTTGAGCTAAAATTCTCATGCAAAGACCATTTTTCTTTGATATGTGAGAGAAATTTGAACTTAAAATCTCTCTCTCTCTATAATTTACTTGAAATTTCTTTCAAAGTTGAGGAAAGAGATATACCCTTGACCAAGAATATAACCCAATGATACGGTAGTTGAAGTTGTAATTAGCATCTGGCCAAAGCAATTTATGAAATTTTAAAATTAACTGTCTCATCCATTATTTAGTAGTATTATTTAGTGATGTAATTGTTTGTAAACAAAAAATTATAAGGCATGTAACATGTAATATGTACTCTTGAATGTAATAGTAAAAGTTGTCATATTGTATATACAGGTTCATCTAATAGACTTTGTGCTATTTAGATAACAGTATCAATTTTCGTTCTCAATATAACACCTCCTGAACGAAAATTGATACTGTTACTCTTGGTCCGTCCATCATCTAAAATGGATGTGCAAGCCAGCCTCCGTGGGAAAAGTTAAAAACAATAAAAAATCCTAGATATTTCCATTTGATGTGCAAGCCAGCCTCCGTGGTGTCGACAAGTCCATCTTGGTCCATCCATTATCTAAACTGAGGAAAAGTCAATGAAATGAGAGTGATGTGTAGCCCAGCCTCGGTGGTGTCGTCTTTTTATGGAATCTCTTGATTATATTATATAAAATAAAGGCCGACTAAGTTGAAATATCATCTCTCCTTGTTTGTTGTACTATAAGCGCATGCTACTTGACAGTTGTCACTTGTAGCCCAAGTCTGAGAACAAATTATGTTTATAATTGTTGGAAAAATGGGGTCTTGTGTCATATTCTGGGATCGGCTCCGTCGTAGCACGATATTATCTATTTTGGACTCTCTTATTCTCATAGTTTCATTTTTGAGAACTCACAAGTAATTTTCCGGTGAGTTCTCCTACATTGAAGACAAGGCTTTAGTGTGCTTAATCAACCAAGTTATCGGTGACACTAACTCAGTGAGTGAACTCGAATTCTTGTTCCTAAGGAGTTAAATCCAAACCTTGAAAAGTGTGTAGATCCATCTTGAAAATATAAATATCCTCGAACGCGACTGGTGAAAAGCATAGAACTAGATGGTGCTCAAGAATTCTAGATGGTACAAAAACAACCTCTAGCAATTGGCTAAAAACTGAAAAAACAGTATAAAGATATTTTGACAGCACTTGGGATGCATTCCATGACTATTTGATCTTTTTTGTTGTCGAAAGATTACTATTTGATGTTGATCTCCAAATCTGATAATGATTAACTCAAGACCCCAACTACCGGACATTGGCATTCATTGTTCAGAACTTCCCTGGCTGGTCCTACCCAAACTTGGTGTCCAAGTCAAACAAGACTTTGAATCAAATGGAGCAACCCGTTGGGCCGCACCAATCTTTATGCTTTTATGGGTTGTTGCACTTTGTAGTTCAAGCTTTGAAGAGGGTTTGCCTTTTCACCTTAGGTCTCACGTGCATATCTTCCAGTCTCCTCCATTCTAATATTGCTTGTATACCAAAAAGAAAAAGAAACAAATAAAAAACATTGGTCCCATCACCACCAGTTCAAGTTGGTCACCCAGTCCAGCCATTTACGCTTGCTCGGTCCACATATTATTTCATTAACCAAAACATTTAAATCTTCAGTTGTGCGACCATACGATTTAACAGCCTCTTCAGCAAACACTTTGAGGATACTAGTTCTCTCTCTCATTTCGTTTCCTTGTTTACTCGACAAACATAATTCCAATGCCTTCATTGCTCCACTTTTTGTCAAAACACCTCCCTCAATCCCCACACCAATTCTCCACAAAACCTCTAAAGTTCTCATGTTCAGTGGCTGGTCAGCCAGAAAAGGCCTACATATCATTGGCACACCACCCGTTATGCTCTCCAAAACTGAATTCCATCCACAGTGTGTCACAAAAACTCCAACAGAGGAATGATTTAATACTTTAGCCTGGGAAACCCAGGGGACTACTTTTCCAAGTCCATTTCGATTCGTTCGTTCAACAAATCCCTCGGGGAAATCTTTTTCATTTCCCCTAAATGACCAGATAAATGGAAATCCGCCTTCCTCTAGGGCTTCGGCTAAGGCTGCTAGCTCATGAGGGGGCAGTTTTGCTATACTTCCGAAGCTAATGTAGGCTACGGAAGCACGTTTGTGCTTGTCTAACCACTCTAAGCAGCCATGCTCGTCATGAATTGGTGCTGTTGGTGTTAGAGAGAAGGGTCCAACATGAAGGAATTTGTGGAACCTTTTCTTTAGCTCAAACACGACTTCGAGGTCTATGTCTTGAAAAGAGTTTATGGCAACTGCAGTTGCCTGTGGTAGCTTCTGTCCCATTTTATGGACCATAACTGCAATTGGTGATTCTGAATTTTCAAATGCTACTCCTTCAGGCAAATCAGATACATGGAATGCTGAAAATCCAGGGAGGAAGTCTAGGCTTTGGTCTTTTTCTCCTGCCGAAGGAAAAAATAACACAAATAAATAATGTTAACATTGTAATCCATTGGGAACTAAGATTCTTGCACATTAACTTATGCTCTAAATAGTTAAAGCTTGGTGCTATTATATTGTCATACAAATAATTATATTTCTAGACTGTGATATCACACATGCATCGAGGCAAAATCAACCTAATAAATAGTTACAAAATAATTCTATTTTGACAATCACTTATGTAATTGAAACTTGATTGAAATATTCGACTAAGAAAATTATTTCTTACCACTAGCTCCCACTTTTTCTCTAATCACATCGGTACCAACATGAGCAAGCAGAGAGCGTTGTCCCGAAGTCCATAAGGGCACCCAAGGGACCTGCATTTCTTCTGCCATTTCTCCTGCAAACCAAAGAAACGCATCTGATATCAAGCAGCCCACCTTCTGGCCAATCTCAGCCTCTGCCTCTTCGATACCTTTCTTAAAGCTGCCCGGTGCCACCTTAAGAAAGAGATCAATTGGCTCCAGAGGGTTCCCAGAGAAAGCATAGCCCCCTGTCAAGCCATCCCATACGTTGTAAGGCTTAATATTTTCAAACCCCTTGCTGTTGGATTCTGTGAAGAGGGAGCTATTGGATTTAGCAAGGCTCAAGAATGAGAACTTCACGTCAGGAGCCATGGCTGAGATTATACGGATAAAGTGGAGAAGAGTGCCGGGATGGGAGGCGAACGGAAAGACTAAGACGGCAACATGTTGAGTACAAGCTTTGTGGTTCATTATTGGCATTGTGATAGTATATTGGATTTTGGTTAATCGTGTTCTTTGAGTTTTTGCATGTAATTAATGAAGTTGGTGACGGTAGATATATATGTGAGAGAGAAAGAGGAAGTTAATTAGCTGCTGACAACAACGTAAATGTAACAAACATGAGGTGTTTTCGTTTTCGCAGGTTTGGAAATGGGTAGTTTTATTTTTATTTTTTTTCACCTTTTTAAAATTGTTAAATTGGTTAGTTTTGTGCGAACCAGGTTGGACATGATTATACCATTAAGAGGAAACAGATCTCCTAACAAATACTTGGGCGTGATGATTACCGATTCATGTGTTAAGATGGGTTGATATATATTTCATAGACCTAATGTACAATATTAATAAATAGATGTATAGGTTATAATATGAGGGAATTATAATATCATGTGTCAGTACGACAGTCACCGTAACGTTGTATCCAAATATTATAATTGAAATGGATTACCGACATCAAAAGTATGACAAATGAATAATTGCCCGGACCTTAAAGTTTATATTAATTCCTTTTCAGTTAGTTCTAGCCAGTGTCTGAGCCATATTATCTTTTTTTTTTATGTGCAGCCATGGAAAAGATAAAATACAACAGACAAATGTTTTGTTTAAAGCAAATATATTATAAGAATCTTAAATTTAATTTTAATACCTAACATTTAGTTTAAATCATTAGGATGTAAACTACATGTTCCAGTCTATGAATAAAATTCATCTTCTATACCCAAAAAAAAATGTGAATGGTACATGAATAAATTAAAATGAATACTTATATATTATATTATATAAAATAAAATCATTCGATGCATAAATGAATGAAGAACCTGCAATCGGTTAGAAAATAGGAAAATAATAAAAGACAAACATGCCATAATTTTTTACTTTGAGTCATAGCAATCGTCCTGAACTTTGGGGACCAAATAAAATATGGTCATAAGCTCCATAAAACGTATAACTAAGATCTGTACGTATGATTATTAGTAAAGAATATAAACCAAAACGAAATAGAAAATTAGAGTACAAAGAAATACAGAGTAATTAAATTTCAACTTACTACCACATGTTTTCCAAAATTCAGACTTTGCTACATGAATTTTTTTCCTCTCACTTTCATTCCCAACGTTAACTTTTCATATCAGTCTCATACCTCCGTCTATGTTACCATCAGAAAATATGTTTATGTATTTTTTGGATTGATATATAATTATGTATTTTCATGTCATTCTTTTGATTATGCATTGGCATTTGTAAAGTTTGCACCAAAACTTGCTTTGTAGGAATTGAAAGCACAATCTGTACCAAAAGCTCATTCTGCCATTGATTACATAACAAAAGGGAATTGAAAGCACAATTGCACCAAAAGGTCATTCTGTCATTCATTATATAACAAAAGGATTGCAGGAGGGTTTCATTCTTCCATTCAATTACATAACCCAAACCCAATGCAAATACAAAATCAGCCAAGACATAACAACTAACATAACCCAAACCCAGTGCATGAGGGTTTTTAGGAGTTTGTGTATGAGTTTGCAAATGTCTAACAAATCGTGCAGAACTTAAAAAGGCCTAATAGAGTTTGGGGGGTTTTATGTCGTTAACCCACAAAATTATAAGTGAAAAAAAAAACACACACACATGGAGACAACAAATAAAAAGCATTACAAAGTCAATAGGTCTAGCCGAGTTGAAAAGGGCCTTGATTTGCAGGCAGAGATCTCAAGTTCGAACCCCAATGATATCTTAATTGTGTGCATGTGTACGAGAAACCCCCCCCTCCCCTTGCAGTTTAGACTATCACTTGTACTAAAAAAAACATTACAAACAAAAACAAATTTGTTTTTATAACGTTCCTAGCCCGTGGTCTAGTTTTCTTAATAAATTGGATATGTTACACATAATTTGTTGCATCAATTTAACTGTTTGGGGACATGCGTCATGGTCTCCCCCTTCCCAAACTACCTTGAAACAAGTATTACAAACTACATATATTACTTTGTGACAATCTCCACCAAGCTATTGAAAGCTCGTGGGGAGCTTCCATTCCATTCAACAGCTTGTTGGGCAAGATTTTGTAGGATCTTTAATTTTTCTCTCATTTCTTCTCCTTCTTTTTGCTTCAAGACCAGTTCCAAGGCCTTAATCGCTGCAGGTTTCGTGATGAGCCCTCCCTCAACCCCAACACCAATCCCCCATGCAGCCTCTACCGTCCTCATGTTAAGATTTTGGTCTCCAAAAAATGGCCTGCAAATCATAGGCACACCACCAACAATGCTCTCCAAAATCGAATTCCACCCACAATGTGTCACAAAAACCCCAGTTGAAGAATGCCCCAAGACTTGCACTTGTGGAGCCCATGAAAGTATTTTCCCATTCAGGCTCATTTTGTCATACCCCTTGGGCAATATTTCCTCTATGTTGCCCCTAAATGACCAAATAAATGGAAACCCACTTTCAATCAATGCTTCCGCAAATGCTGCTAGCTCATGAGGTGGTGGTGTCACCACACTTCCAAAGCTAATATATGCCACTGATGCTGCCTTCTGCGTGTCCAACCACTCTAAGCAACCACTTTCATCGTTAAGCAATGGCGGCGGTGATGGTGATGGTGATGGTGATGACGGTATTAGGCTAAAGGGTCCAACGTTGAGGAACTTCTGGAATCTTGACTTGAGCACATTCACAACTTCAGGGTCTACTTCTTCAAAAGAGTTTATTGCAACAGCGGTCGCTTTAGGCAGCTTTTGTCCCATTTTGTATAATAGAGTTGCTAAGGGTGACTCTAACTTTCCTACTATTCCTTCAGGTAGGTCGTCCATCTGAAATCTTGAAAATCCAGGAAGGAAGTCGAGGGTTTGTTTTCCACCTCCTGAAAATAAATGTTATGATGCTATCAATATTCAACTAATGTATATGATCAGTAGAAAAACTAAAATAAGCTGAAAATTAATTCAGAAAAACTAAACTTAATTTTGGACTAAATGAATACAAAAAAAGAAAGAAAATAAAACTGTCTCCTGTGGATTTTTCATGTGCCACCTACCAAAGCAACCACAAGTTAACTGCCCTACTTATTTAATAAAAATACAAGGGAACACTGATCTAACATTGCAGCTTAGGTTCACCGTGAAGTTCATTAGGTACTTGTTAGATAATTGTTAACCTGCTTAAGTACTTGTTAAATTTATTAAATTCATTATTTAGACGAAACGTTGGAATAGTATGAAATTATTAAGTTTATTATTTAGACTGTACAAATTATATCCTCAATTTTTCATGTTGATAAGAAACTGCATACATTGTACATGGGATAACGCTAGGCTTACACACATTGTGTATGTTTCATCTCTCATAGAGGTGGAGCCTAGCATAGCACACTCGTTGATCTTTTAGATTAGAGTAACAAGAATGAGGAGAAAATAGTCAAAATTCGTTGTAGTAACAGTTGATGCAAAAAAATAAGGAGAAAAGATACAAATTTATATAAATATGATATATAATTAAATTAACAATGCATTGAACTTCCTATGGCCAAAATTCGTTGACTTATTATACCAAAAAATAAAAATAAAAAATTCGTTAAATGACCATAAAATGCATAAAAGGTTGAATAAAGCGTATAGGGTCCTTGGTTAATTATCAAATAGCAAATGAATCCTTACCACTGGTTCCAAGCCTTTGGCGTATCAAGTCTGTGTCAACATGAGCCAGCAGTGAACGTGGTCCACCCGTCCAAACCGGCACCCAGGGGACTTTCATCTCCTCCGCCATATCTCCAACAAACCAGAAGAACGCATCTGATACCAAACACCAACCCTCAACCCGGTCGCCGCCTCGGCATCCTTCAAACTCCCCATAAAGTTCGCAGGCGCCGCCTTCAAGAAAAACCCGACAGCCACCTCAGGGTTGCCAGAGGGCACGAAGTTCTCTGGCAACCCGTCAGGCACGTTGTAAGCCTTCACATTGTGGAGGCTCAACGGTGACTTGGAGAAGAGGGCGGCGTTGGCTTTGGAAGTTGTCAGGAACGAGAAGGCCACCTGCGGGGCCGCCGCAGCTAGTCTGAGGACGAGGCTGTGGAGAGGGCCGGCATGGGAACCGAAGGGGAAGGCCAAAACGGAAACATGGTGAGTTTGGGGTTTGGAGTTTGCTACCATAGTTATTCGATGGTCTTGATCTTGTGCTGTAGAAAAAGTGATCTTTTATTTATAGGAGGGGAACATGGATTGGTAGGTAAAGAAATGGTAGCAATTAATTGTGCGTGGTTATGACGTTCACATATATTTTTTGGTTGTTGAAAAGAAGTTAATGACCTTGTGGGCAGAGTTGGGAGATACTTGGTTGTGAAACGAACAACGAGACGTGAGAATTAATTTCACCATGTATGTGACGGTGTTAAAACAACAGCCATACATATGACAACTAATTAATTCTAGACTTCACTCTTATTACATCAATTATTGTTATTGTAGAATTTTTTTTATTTTTTTTATTTAATTTTTTTTTTGGGGCAACTGAAATTTGATTCATAGACAGATATCAGATACAAGGCCCAACAAAGACCAAATCCTAAAAATTGCCCAAATCGAAACAAAGACCCAAAAGCAGCAAACCCTACCAGTAACACAGAAACCACAACCGCGCCGTCGCCAACTCCGGAGCATTGAGCAGATAGGAGAAACAGCCGAGGAGGGCATCTGCAGCAAGATTAAAGAACACAAACAGGTGCTAAATCAACCAAAACGGGAAACTTAACAAGGCGAAAATGTTTGGGCCTGTTTTTTACATACCAGGTATTGGAGTTGTATTGGGCCAAATTTTGGCTTGAGCTTTACTATCAATAGAATATCCGGACCAATCAAATGGTTATTATAAGAAAATTATTATTTAATTGATAATTATATAAACTAAGTGGGATATTCACGGCCACCCAAGGCACTTTGATCTCTTCCGCTATATCTCCGGGAAACCGAAAGGACGCATCAGCCACCGAACACCTGACCTTCAACCACGTTGACGCGCTTATAAAGCAACTGGACACCGCCTTCAAAAATAGCCCAATAGGTTCCCAATGTTGAGTAGGAGTGGGCATCGGGACCAGTTGAGTAAAAAAGTCAACAAACCGGCACCGAACAGGACTGGACAGGTTCCAACCAATTTAGATTCTGGTTTCACACCTTACCAAATCAAATCGGACTAGACCGATTGTGTATAATTTTATTTTATTTTACAAAATTATTTAAATCTAATGCTACATTTTTAATCTCATAACTAATATTTCCCCAAACCCAACTTCAAAACACCTCTCTGTTCTAGCCCTAATATATATTTTTGTATGAAATTGGATCATTTGTTAATTTTCAAGCCCAAAAAGTGTTTTAGTTGGAATTTGTATAAAATAAATAATTTGAAAAAAATAAATAATAATCAGGTCCAAAACCGAAAAAAGCAGAAATCGGACTAGAACCGAACCAACCAATTTCATAATTTTTTTTACTAAAACCAAATCGAACCGAACTGGTATTTAACCGGTTCTGATTCCGATTTGAGGTGGAAATCAAACCACGCCCACTCGCCCACTCCTAACGTTGAGGAACTTCTTTAGTCTTGATGAGTTAAGCACACAAATTTCAGGGGCTAATAATGTTGCCTTTCTCATTGTTGTGAAATTATTGAAAGCGCACAATCCACACAAGTAATATAGAGATAAGTGAATTGTCGTTACCACAAAGACTGTAATTTCCGTTTAATCGCCAATTATGATTAATTCAAAAGTTTATTTGAACAGTTGATTAAGAAAATTGATTGATTTAACTAAGCTAAAACAGTTATGAAAAATAGCAATTTAATTATGATGAAAAATCAAGTTGAGGAGACACTAGAGCATCTAATTTCACCATAACCAATTCCACTTAGTTCTTATTGCCAATTAACCCTAATTACTACCCATGTTGACAGTTGGTTTCTCCTATGAGAACCTAAAAGAAAACTGTATGTGTCATGTTAGTCCCTCTCGGGCACACATTCAAGATATGATATTTGTTAATTACAAGAAGCAAACACCAAAAAATCTCCTCTCGGTCTCCATTTAGATCATCAATTAAATATTAGTTAGATAGTTAAAGCATTAAGAACAGTAACTAATACTCAACATGGAATAGTAATCAGAAATTAATATAATATAAAAATTAAGTATTCATGGTTAGGCTAGATCCTAGTTCTAGCAAGGAAAATTAGTTCATGACAAAAGAAAAGGTTATGCTAATTTTGAGTATCAACATTATCTACAGAAGACTCTATGAAAAGAAAAGGAATTAGATTAGATTTTATAATGTTAATCAATAAACAATACATAAAATAAACCTAATTAGTTACAAATATTTTCACATACAATTAGTGACCAAACAATTGGGTCACGTAACCCATGTTTTAGTTAACAAATTGTGTGTTTCAGTGACCAAATCATAAGCCTTTTAGTAATATTAATACACTAATTGTATTCAATGACCAAGTTGCTAGCCACTAATACTTGTTTTTCCTTGTAGTACTGCTTTCGAAATTTTCCAAAAAAGTTCTGAAATTTTTTGAATATTTAAAAATTCTAAAATTTATTTGAAACGAAACTGGAGTAATTTTTTTGAATTGGAATTGAAATCCTCTTATTATGATCCGATCCATACAAAAATTAGCCATAACTATCTAGTTCATTTGTCGAATGGACTTTGGTACGCATTAAAATAAGGGAGTTTCACTAAAACACCCAAAATGGGGGCTGAAATTATAAAAAAACCCAACACCCAAAACACTTTATAAACACATCCAAAACTCATCATTACACACACTCAAAACCCATTTATAAACACACCAAAAAAATATACAATTGTTAATTTTGGGTGTGTTTCTATGTTTAAATAGTGCTTGGGTTTTTTTATAAATACATGTCTAGGATTGGGTTTATTTATAAATTTGTATTAAAATAATATATAGAATTACAATTTATAGTATTCTTCTTAAATATTAAATTTGTTATTTGAATTGTTAATAAGAATGGACGGTATATATATTTAGACAAATCCCACCTAATTAACCAACCAAGTTAAGCCTTACTTTGTTCTTTACTTGAGTTTTAATATAATTTATAATATTGTTTTGAACACCAACGTAAATCTTTCTTCTTTTTTTTTTTTTTTTTTTTTTTTTTTTATACACAAATTATTCTCTTATAAAATTATACAAAAATTATTCACTAATTAAATTTAGTTGTTTTCTATTTTTTTTGGGTAATAAGGGAGACATGGAGGTGGACATCAGAGTTTGGTCATAGGAAGAGGCAGTCACCGGGGACAGAGGCGGCAGCGGCCAGCTCTAGTGGACTGCCAGAATTTGTCACCAGAAATGGGTTGACTCACTGGAAAGTTGCCATTATTACTTTAATTGAATTTGTTAAAATAGTGTAAATTTATGTCATTTTGAATACATTAATGTAATTTTGAAGTATAATAAATAGCGGTTTATTTTATCTAAATTAGGTGAAATTAGATTATTATCTACCACAATAATAAATTCTCAATTTATTTTAAAGTTTAAACCTAAGCTCCCAAAATTATATACGTGTATCATTCGGCGCAATAAATGGAAAGAATAATATTATGTATATGTACCAGCAATAGTTCCAACCCTTTGCCGTATGAAGTCTGTTTCCATATGAACTAGAAGTGAGTGTGGTCTGCTCCAAACCGCCACCCAAGGCACTTTGATCTTCTCCGCTATATCTCCCGCGAACCAAAAGAAGGCATTGGTGACCAAACACCTGACCTTCAACCCTATTGACGCAATGCCTCAGCCAGGGATGGATTCAGGATTTCAAACTTGACTGGGCTAAATTTACCTTAAATATAAACATACTAAGTAGATAGAAAACTCGATAGTACGATGTAATTCCATTGATAACAAAAAATTAATAATACATCTACTCAAGGTTGGGGGTGGGGGGAAGAACATAGTAAGGCTTACCTCTCAAATAACACTATATAAGTTGCACCCTTCAAGTCTTCATAGAATTAAAATCATTAATTATCGATTCATTATTTATATTATCAGCAAATTCTCTTTCAATGTGAAGTAACATACAATCAACAAGAAATTCATCACCTATCTTGTTTTGAAGCCGATTTTTTATCAGTCTCATACAAGAAAATGCTCGTTCTGTTGTTGCTGTAGAAACAGGAAGAGTTAGCACCAAACGAATCAATCTGTCAATCAAGTAGTAGGTCTGTGGTAATCTTGTTTCCACTAAGCGCTCAAGTAATATAGGAATGGAATCAAGATTCTTGAAAGTTGGATTGTGATCCATGTCAATCTTATAAAATCCCAGTTGTTGATTTAAGAAGATGGGACGCCTTTCCAATTTCATGATGCTCCGTGTAATATGTCGTAACCTAAGGAAGAGGGTGGGGCTGGAATGGATGGTTGGAGGAGGAAGGGGTGAGTTGTGGGGAGAAAAAGGTGGGGCTGAGTTTTTTTTTTAAACTAAAAAATACAAATATGTATTTAACTTTGATTTTTTTTATAAAAATGTTATTATGTTATTCTTATTATTTATTTATTATTTAATTTACTCAAAATTACAAGTTTACCCTTATAATTAACGAAAAATTGGATGAAATTCACAAAACTTAATGGCAATGGCTAGATTGGCCATTTTAATTAATTTGGGTGTTAAATTGGTTGACTTTTTAGTTTTGGGAGTTCAGTTCGATTGAGGTCCTAGTTCAGGAGGGTGTACTCCATTATTTTTGTATATAAAATTGAGATCTCTACATCGTTGGGTTACAAAACTGGAATTTCTAAAATTGTGTTATTATTAATTCCTTCTAAAAGAACTTGTTATTGATCCAAAAATTAGTAGAAGTAAAACACACCGTGCAATTTTTGTTGTAAACCAAATGTTTGTTCTACCCTAGAAAATTCATTTGCGGAGGCCCGATGTTGGCCGCGGGATTGTTTTCATGTTGTTTGCCTAGGCGTGCCACAGTTAGCAACAAAAGCTCCAATAGAAAGTGATTGAAAAATGTAAAATGCGCTCCAATATCAACTCTAATCAATCGATTGTGAACTGTGTGAGGAACTTACCCATATAGGTTATTTCTATGCCTCAATGAAGAGAACTTCAATATTTTTCTAGTTGCGAAGATAAGAACAAGCTGAAAATAACATAAATGTCAGGAAAGGGTACGCACATCCTTGACTCTTTTTATCCGTCAAGGAAAGGATTCTTTTGACAGCTTAAAAGCATCACGTTTCTATGAAAACTGTTGACTTATAGTCAACTTTGACACTTTTAAACTGTCAGTGTATCTTTTTGTTGACACTTATTAGCTCTTTTCTTGATAGATTTTAGCCGTCAAGAAACAAAAAGGTAATATTAAAAAAAGAAGAGGAAATTGTACATCCCCTATAATATAATATTATTAAATAAAATAATTTAATATACAATAAATGTTACACCATAAAAACAAATAATATTGAAAACACATTAAAAATATTCTTTGCAACCAGAATATAATATAGATTATTCATAAATTGCATGTCCACTTAATATAATAAGGAGTTTCACTAAAACAACCAAAATGGGGGCTGAAATTATAAAAAAAACCCAACACCCAAAACACTTTATAAACACACCAAAAACCCATCATTACACACACTCAAAACCCATTTATAAACACACCCAAAAAATATACAATTGTTGATTTTGGGGTTGATTTTGGGTGAGTTTCTATGTTTAAATAGTGCTTGGGTTTTTTTATAAATACATGTCTAGGATTGGGTTTATTTATAAATTTGTAATATAATAATTACATACAATAACTGATTACGCAAAAAACTTATATCTAAAACTGAACGTATTCAACGTCAATGGATTCGAAGCCTTCTATGTCTGCCTTTGTGACACTCATTGATCGCATTAATCTGTCAAACAAGAGCATATGCATCAAGGAGAGGGAGAGAGGGAGAGAGAGAGAGAGAGATAAATAAAGAATCTACCACAATTTATAACAACCTAGTAACAATAAACTCCTTAAGTGCATG